TGGGGGGGTTGATTTCTCACTTTCCCTCTCACTGACTCTCTCTCTCTCCAGTGAGCCTATGTGCCCTATGGCTGGCAAAAACCTTTAATAAAATAAAAGTTAGGGAGTCAGGATGGCTCCAGGGGATCACTGGGGGCCGCTTTGCCTTGAGCCCCGCCAGTTCCCGCCACCAGTGTCAGTTGCTCAAAGATAATGGGACTGAGGCTGGCCTGAAATCACAAAGAAATCTGAAACAGATGTTAGGAAACCCTCTTTTATTTTGAATGTGAGGATAAGCCTAGCAATTATTGACAGAACTCCGGCCCAGATCACGAACAGTTAATTGCCTGGTGGGATTGAGTGGAGTACCTGGCTTCCTTTCGCTTTTCTCCCAGCTCAAGCTAGACAACGTGCCTCACAGGCCGAGGGGTGCATGGTCCCCAGGGACCTTGAAGCTCTCTGCCCTGCCCCTCTGTTCTTTTCTCTCTTATCCTCCCTCAACATGTACATGTACTTAATATGTACACTTGGCATGTATACATACATGCACACACACCAGGTACAGCACTTGCCGATCTCAGCAACCACCTCGGGGGTTATTTTATTTTATTTTTTTAATTTTTTATTTTTTTGGAGAGGTTTCACTATAGGGCGCATGCACTCGCCAGAGAGACAGAGAGAGACATAGAGACAGAAAGCGAGAAATCACCCCCCAGGGGGGATGGTCATGCCACAATCCCTTCTCCTCCATTCTCCTCTCGGGATCTTGGGCACGCACGCACACACGCCCGGCGTGAGTTTTAAGCCACCGGGTCCGGGATGCAAACCGTGGTCGACTACATGGGAGTCCAGCGACATAGCCATTACGCTAACTGCTGGTCCCCGCACCTCAGGGTTTATAACCAGGGTCATTCCCAACCGTAGACTTAGGATCCTCCTCCTCAGCAAGGCCCCTTGGAGATGGAGATGCTCAGTGAAACTGACTCATAGCGACTCCCACTGAACAAACTGGGGCTTAGGCCCCTGCCCTGGCCGTGTGATGAGGGCCGGGTTCCAGGAGTCCAGTAGCTGAGCACCTGCTTGATGCCACTCTGCAAGTTTCCTCTTTGTGTGGGGGGCTCTCCAGTCTCTGGGCCCAGAGGGGGGACTCTACGATGAGCGCATCTCAGGTTTCGTGGACTCTTGCCCCATCCTGCGGATGTCCTGATCCCATTTATTTTCCCCACAGCACCTGCCACCGTCTGTTTTCCTTAGCTAGTACATGTTTACTCAGGTCTCTGCACCTGGGGGGCAAGGTCCAGAGAGAGAATTTGGTCACATCTACGTTTTGCATCCCTAGCAAAAGAAGCGTGAAATAGATGGTGCAGCTTTAGCAATTTAAAGAGGAGGTTTTGCCCCCAAAGATTAGGCTTGTCTCTTGTTCCTTCACTATCTTTTATTTGTATGCTTATTTTTAAAATTTCATTCACGAGTGAGAGAGACAGCACCCTCAGAAGGGCCCTAATACCATGATCCACCCCAGCCTTCAGCCAGTGCTGGATCATAGGCACCAGGGTGCCCCAGGTTCTCAGGAAGGTCTCCAGCTTCACACTGCACCACCCACTGGCCCCTCCTTCTCTGTCTACAGTTCCAAGACTTGGGTATATCAGGGCATTGGAGGGATGAGTGGGAGGCCGATAAGGGTAGCCATAATCCCAGGAAGATGCACGTTTACCCATCAGCACATCTTGGGAAGACATTTGTGTGTGTGCTATGAGCAGGGGCACCAGCTGCCGGGTCCTAGACTACCACATCCAGGGGGTTCGTTCCACTAAAAACCTTGGAAGAGGAGAGGTGTATTGTGTCTCTCTGGAACAAAGCCCCGGCTGGTTTTCTGCCCATTATAAAAGGTTCGACTTCCTTGAGTTGGGGTTCCCTTTCCCGTGCCTTCTCCTATAGGAGTCCATGCATCATCTGACTCACTCTGCCCTGCCTTTGGGAACCAGGGCTATGGAAATGGCACACACATGAGTACTCTGGCCTTTGCTATTGGTGCCTTTTATTTTCTGTTGCCACCCATGGACTGACTGATGGCTGCCTAAGCCTTAACTTGTTAGCTCACGGTAAGAAAAACCTTCAGATGCTCCACAGTTCTGGCCACTCATTGATCTTTTTATTGTTTAATGTTTCAAATACCTTTTATAGAATTACTCGTAAGGCTAATGCCTGTTTGCTATGAAAATTTTAATAATACAGAAATCCAAAAATATATTTTTTAAAGACGTCAATACCCTTTTTCTCAGGGACTGAATTCCAGTGCAAAGATAACGGGGTGGAGGATGTTTAAACATGCCATTTTGATCCAGGCATTTTAAATATAAATATTTAAATCAGGATTATGCTAATGTTGATGGCTTTCTATTGTGAAAATATTTTTCAGCACTAAAAGCCTCCAGGCCAATTCAAGCCCTTAAGTTTTTTCTTTGTAGTTAATCTATTAGTTAAACCATTTCCATGTTTTTATTCTTTTTTTGTTTAAAAAAGAAAGAAAGAAAGAAAGTGACCAAAGGGTTTGTACACTTGTCAGAGGGAGACAGAGAGAGAGTAGGAGAGGGGGAAGCACCTCCCAATGGGGGGTCCTCATGCTGCAATCCCTTCTCCTCAGTTTCTGTATCCCGTCAAGACTTTGAGCAGACTCACACAAGTGACTGGTATGTTTTTCAAGCCACTGGAGCTGGGATTCAAATGGTGGTTCGAATGGAGGATCTAGGTCATTTGGGATCCAGCTTCCTTATCCACTAGGTGATGGAACCAAATCCTTTGTTCTTAATTTTACAATACAGTGATATAAAGGAAGAATAATGTTGGCTTTTCTTTTCTTTTCTTTTGGAGAGGTTTTTGCTATGGGGCACGTGTGCTCACCAGAAATAGAGAGAGAGACAGAAGCGAGAAATCGCCCCCTGGGGGGGATGTCCACGCTGCAATCTCTTCTCCTCCATTCTCCTCTTGGGATCTTGGGCACACATGCACACGTGCCCAGCGTGAGTTTAAGCCACCGAGTCCAGGGCTTGAACTGGGGTCAGCTACATGGGAGTTCAGCGACATAGCCATTATGCTAACCGCTGGTCCCAATTGTTGACTTTTTTCTTGTTGCTCTTTTCTGTGAAAACTTCACAATTTCGGCCCACACCAAGGTACATTGTACCTAGATTGGGCTTTGGGGAGTTTCTTCGACCTATTACTTTCATCAAGCTCAGTTTCCTGTGTTGAATTGTGTATATCTAGGCGTTACTATGTTTAACCTAACGTTACTATTGTCGATTCTATTTTATGTTAATTTTTTTATAGAGTATTAAGACTTAGAGAAAAGATTTTATAACACTTATTTATGACTACTCAGAGAGGAGGCCGTGAGCAATCCTGCTTGGGGCTCCAGAAGAACCTTCTTCCCTGGCCTGGATTATGCATGCTGGTCCACTCTACCTCTCTGTTTCCCTCCTCGTTGTCTGCTATCTCCTCATTGTGCTCTGGGCTAGGCCAATAGCCAGCGGAGGGGTCAAAATGTGGACCAGCAGGTGGCGTGCTGCTTAAAGCACTGGTTTCCCACATGTCTGACTGTAGTTCGAGTTCTGGACTTGGTGACTTGAAAATCACACCTGGTATGTGTGTGCGTGCCCAAGATCCCGAGAGGAGAATGGAGGAGAAGGGATTGTGGTGTGGCCATCCCCCCTGGAGGGGATTTCTCACTTTCTCTCTGTCTCTTTGTGTTTCTGGCAAGTGCACACACCCTATGGCAAAAACCTGAACAAAAATAAAAATAAAAAAAATAAAGTGCGGTCAAATACTCTTGTTGCCAAAATGGCTGGGCTGAAATCCTGCCTTTGTACATGAGTGTAATACATGGTTCCTCCTCTCAGGTGTAGGGGCACGACAACGGTGCGAAAGGAAATGAGTAACTTGAGTGCTAACAGAGTTAAACCCAGCGTCCTGGGAGCACAGGGGGAGATTTGACCAAACTTTCTTGAAGTTAAGAAGAGACCAACAGCTGTGTTCGCCAGCCCTCACTCACATGAAAATGGGATTTCATAAAGTGTTGCAGGAAGAAAAGCTGGAACGTAAGTTAGAGGGGAGAATAACTCTTTCCACGAACCCTCAGTGAGCTAGAACTTTCCAATTACCCTTACTCCTCGTCTCCCTCCTGTCTCTTCCTGCACACTTCGGTCAGTCAAGGTTGACCTGTCCCTCCTGGGGGTCTGAGAGAGGTGCCCTTGATGTTCCTTCCTGGCACTTGACTTCAGGGACAGGAAGACACCTACGTGGTGCTGTGTATTTTAGACACAATAACCCAAGTCCTCTTTCTTTGTGCCTTTTTCTAAACGAAGGCTCTATTAATATAAAACCTTTTCTGGTGCTGGGGCACGGAGGGGCTGGGCAGGAGAGGCCCCATGTGCTGCGAAGAAAGCTTTCCAGGCCATTATCTCCTGGGGCACCACAGGAGCCAAAGTGGGTGTCATTAGAGGCCGCTGAAGGGCTAGTCACATCCCACCAGAGACACAAAAAGGGTTAATTACGAAGAGGAGCTTGCTGGACAAAGGACCCAAAACAAGAAATTGTAAAAGGTAGAAAAAAAATGAAGACAGGATAACTTAGGACCAGATAGCGGTCCCCTTAACAATAAACTCGGTGGGAAGTTTCTGTGCCTCCCTTATAATTGTGGGGACCATGAGAAAAATGGGCTTTTAAAGCACCATTAAGATAGGCAGCTTCAACCCCTCCTGGTCCTAAATCCTGCAGAGCTAGGTCTGGCGAGAAAAGGTAGCTCTGGGCTTCTAGGCAGGGTCCTTTCTGTATCCTACACACTCTCGTGTATCTTTAGACATTAAAGAGAAATACTGTAACTTTCGGCTCTGGGCTTCTAGGCAGGGTCCTTTCTGTAACCTACACACTCTCTTGTATCTTTAGACATTAAAGAAAAATACTGTAACTTTCCCATCTTTTGAAATCAGCCCACTTCAAAAGAGTAATTAAGTACATTGCGTCTCCCGGCTTTCCGTGTCTCTGCAGCAGCTGTAATAGGAACCTCTTTTAGTAACTACTAGATGTGCCTAGGCGCCTAGGCTAGGACGGCCCAGGGTGTGGCCTGACCTGACCCTGTAGATGAGGCAGGTTCCAGGACACAGGCTCGGCCTGAAATCATTACCATTCTGTGTGATGTAAGCAGGCCTAAGTGAGAAACCACGTCGTGGCCCCCAAAGACTTGCATTTAAACCTCAGCTGTGCCGCGTAGGGGCTGCGAGAGCTTGGTCATCACTCCCTGTTTCAGAGCTGTGTTTTCCTTTCTGCAAAACGGGAATGATGATCCTGCCAGGAGAGGCCAGGGCTGATGCAATGAAATAACTCCAAGTCTAGAGCTCCTTTGGCTGCCTCACGGCTGTCTTCTGCTCTCTGCAGTCCCTCCGGACCCGTCCTCCCAAGGGAATGCACTGAGAGTGGTAGTGGTCATAATGCTGTGCTCACGGAGATGGGGCTGAAGGGATGGAAGCACGCCTCCTGCTCACGTCTGCCTCCCCAAATGGATGCCAGACGAGAACTTCATAATCCGGGTAGATGGAACCACTCTTCAGACACTGGGCAGAAATAAAGTTTGTTTTATGAGAGAGAGAGAGAGAGAGAGAGAGAGAGACTGAGACTTAACAGGGTCTCACAGCATATGCTCCCTCCGACCCCAGCCTTCCTTGCCAGCCAGGATCACGGCCATTAGAATGCCCAGCATGTATGGGGTGACCCGGGAACCAAACCCCCCATGTGGCTCCACATCATGTCAGAGCATGGCACTACCACTGTGCTGGAGACACCTTGATGTCATGCCTTGTTAAAGCATGACATCGTAGAGTCACCTCTCTCCCCCACATGTCCGGAGAAGATGCTGTTCACATTCGTATTGATTATTGATTATATAGGGAGGGCCTCTCTCTGTGAGAGTCCTCGGGGATATGTTCTTTATCAGCACCCCAGGGAGTCTGAAATATAAGCCAACACTGACCAGAAGTTACATCAAACTTAATATTTGATCAAGAGGTAAAAACAGCGGATCCGACAAGACTCAGCCAGAGGTATACTGAGAATCCTGGGGTGATTTTGGTCTTCAAAATTTATCTGCCACCCCTGGCATTTCATGCCTTGTCCTGGGAAGCCTGCAAGCACAGGGGATGCCTTGACATCCCCCTCCTGGGCGTCTTAACACAGATCCTGGGATTCAGAAGAGCAGGGAGTTTACGCTGGTGCTGCCTGAGCTCAGCGTCTCTCCCCTCGGCCACCACTGCCCACCACACCCCAACAGCTCCCTGTGATGGCCTCACGTCTGAGTGGGCACCAGGGGTAGTGGATGAATGTGGACACCCACCTGCCTCCCCCCAAAAGATATATCCCCTGTAACCTACAAATATGGCTTTATCTGGAGAAAGTGTTTTTGCAGATGTCATTTAGTTAAATTTTTAAAATGAGATTAGCCTGGATTACCTGGGTGAACCCTAAATATCACATTTTTAACTTTGTTTATCTATTTCATCAATGAGAGAGACCGGATGAGAGAGAGAGAGAGAGAGAGAGAGAGAGAGAGACCCTCCATAGGGTCTTTATACCATGATCCACCCCCAGCCCGGCAGCCCTGACCACTGCCCCATGTATGTGAAGGTTCTGCAAACCCAGGACCTCCCTGTGTGGGTCTAGTGTCACAGAGCATTGTGTTCCTACTGTGCCACACTCTGGCCCATGCCCTAAATCTAATGACAAGTGTCCTTACAAGAGATAGAAGAGGAGGAAAATGGGGAAGGCGTGGAAGACGAGACAGAGATGGGAGTAACACAGCCACAAGGACCAAGATCCTCACTAGAGTTGGAAAGGACAAGGTGACACTCAGAATTCGCAGAGGGAGGGTGGTCCTGCCGGTCCCTTGATTGTGGCCTTCTAGTCACCAGAACAGGGAGAGACTAACTTTCTGAGGTTTTGGCTTTGCTTTATTTTATTCTTTTCCATGAGTGAATGAGAGATACAGCACCCCAACATGGTGTTGAGTCATGAACCCCTACTCCCAGCTTTGGCCAGCTCAGGTCATGGGTAGCCTTGCAGAGCATTGAGTTCTGCCCCTGCGCCGTGGTCTGACCCCTGCTTGCTGTTGTTCTAAACACCAGTTTGTGCTGATTCATTATTGTGGTTCTTAGAAACAAACTCAGCTGCCTGGTCTGCTCCCCACCAGCCCTGGTCTTCCAGCCCTCTCTCCAGCACTGCCTCCCTCGGCAGTGCCACATCGTTCTTCACACAGTCCTGCCTGTGTCTTTTCTACTGAGTTTCAATTTCCCTGTTTAAGTCAGAAAGTTGTCCCTCCCTCTATTGGGTTCAACCTGTTAATCTGATCTTCCAAGTCCACTGTTTTCTCTGAGACTCTTACATTTCAGCCTCATTTCTCTTACTTTATTTTTAATATGCGGGGTTCAGACCCATGCACCTCCACATCACCTGCTCAGCCTGGTAGACCTGTGCTTGGAGGTTGCAGTTAGCAGGTGCCTCCTCATCCCTGTGCTCACAGCAGATGGCCCTCGCGTCCATTCTCTTTCCCCTTTCTGACTTCGTCTCTGCACCATCTCGGCAGAGGGATTTGCTACACCCACATGCATCTGTGTACAGACGAGGAGCTCACCAACCCAGGACAGCCTGTTCGGCTACATTCTCTCTACCTAGTAAGACCTTAGCCATCGTTACAGTCAGTTTGAGCTGCTATAGTAATTACTTTCCCCCTCTTTCTCTCTCTCTCACTGTCTGTGTCTCTCTGGTGAGTGTTTGTGCCCTGTAACATTTCTTTTTTTAATTGAAAAGATGAATTACTATATACTGAGTGGCTTAAACAGCAAACATTCATTACTCACAGTTCTGGTGAGTGAAAGTCCATGATCCGGGTGTTGGCATGGTCTGGTTCTCAGTGAGGGCCTTCCTCCTGGCTCCTAGATGGTGTCTTCTTGTATCTTCCTCTCTGATAAAGACATTAGATCTATTATGAGGGCTCCACTCTCAGAATCGCCTCCCAGATGCCCCACTTCCTAATACTGTCACCTTAGGGGTGAGGATGTCAGCCTATGACTGTGGAGAGACGTTCACGGCAGCCAGGTATTGAGCGAAACCTGCTTGCTGGCCTGTAACTTCACTTTCTGTTCTTTTGCCCCTTCTGAGGTAGCAGCTCCCCCTATAGTGGCAAAGAGCACTCATCACTCCTGCGGTCTCTTCATCCTGAGGTGAATATTCCCACTTTCCCCAGGTACTCTACAGGGGATGCTTTCTGGCCCTTCAAGATGCCATGTCCTCTCTCTGCAGCATGCTTTCCAGCCCAGGTATCGCCACGGTGGCTCTGGATGATGTGCCTGCTCTCTAGCTCCTCACTCCACAGACCCTGGCCACAGTGGGCAGGGCTGGGCTCTTGGGATGTTATGACCTGCCAGCCTCAGGCAACTAGGGGGGTGTCTCTCCTGCACTGGGAGGAGTCCTAATAGAAAACACTGCCAGCCACCTAGAAAACGAGAGACAGACAGGCCTCTGATGCCATCCTGGGAGTAACCAGGACTCAGCTTTGTTTGAGGCAAACCTACCGCTTGTTTTTACAGTTATATGAGCCTAAAATTTCATCTTTGCTTGAGACAGTGTGGCTTGGGTCATTGCCTTTGCAAGCAAGAGTCTTGACCAAGGCAGCCCCGGCTCCACTGTGGGCCACCTAGGAAGACAGGCTGTGCTTGGTCCTAGACATCCTCAAACTCCCTGTTCCTGTCTGACTGTCTTCAGCCGAGGCCAGGCACAGCACTTTCTTTTCTTACAACTTCCCAAGCATCGCTCTCCCGTAGTGTCACATCACCCATCTGCAAGAGGAGCCCCCAGTCTGGGTGTGTCACCCGTCCCTGTAGCCTAGCCCTATCTCTGAGCTCTGTTACAAGATCTCTTCTGCAGAGGGGTGTCCTCATGCCATCTTCAAGGTTGGATCGTCCTCAAACCCAGAGGAGCCCCTTTGTCCTAACTGGTGTTCCTGCCTTCAGGTGGGAGCCTCACTGCAGGGGCGCTGAGAAGGCTTGAGCACACGCACAAGAAGGATCACTTTCATTCCACCCAATTTAGCTGTAAGAATAACAGTGTTGAAAACAATCTTTAACAATCAATGCGGTGATGAATTATGCAGAAAATCATAAGCATCGCCCCCAAATATTATATCTACAGGAAACGGCCTTATGCAGCTAATTGTTAGCTGGGAAACTCTTTCATTAATTCAAATGGGTCAACATTTTAAAATGATACTGTCATATAAATGCAGCGTGAAGGTTTACGTGCGGATCACTCTAAGGTATCCCTTTTTTTTTTTTTTTGGTGAAGCCGACTAATGCTGCATTATGTTTTATTGTGCAATAAAATTATGTGCTAAAATTATGCTCATAAATGTACGCAAATGTAAACCAAGCTATTAGTTATGTTTTCACAGATAAAAGTCATTAGCATAGCTATCAAACTCTTCTCCCATTTGAATAACAGAATTATGTCTGGAGTCTCGGGCTGCCTTGCTGGGGCTTCGTTTTCGGGAGAACAAGTGTAAATCTTGTTGCCCGTGGGAGTCGGTATCCCCACATGGCTTCCACCATGTGGCCGAGCCTGCCTCGGCCCTCTGGGGTCACCAGCTGAGGAAGGGCCCTTCAGCATCTCTCAGCACCTCACATCCCTGGAAAGTCATGCTTAACACCTCCCCACCCACTTCCTGCTAATTAGACTTATCGAAAAACAATTGCAGATCTTTTGAGATTTCAGGAGGCTGACAGCATCTTTTAGCAACAGTCACAAGGAAACAAAGTTTCATGTATAATTCATGAGGTGCCTGGTCATCCTGGTGGGAAATTATCTCCTCTGACAGGCTCGGCGGTGGTGGTGTCCTGTCAGAATGGCCTACAGTGTATAATTAAAACCTGAACAGAACAAATTAATGCTGATTACTTTATAAACAGTTTGAAAGCTTGAATTCTGTTCCCTGTCTTGCAAGAAGAAAACAGATATTTCAGAAACATGTAGATCCCCCCTCCCCTCACTAATAGTTCTGCTAATAAAGGGCCCTTGAATGGATAGAGCATTAACGAGCTTTGTCCTCCAATTTGCTTCTCCCCTTGCTCAATGCCCAAAGTCAGAGGGACCAAACCCCAAATTTGGCAGGTGCTGAATCTCCATGCTGAGAGTGCATCCCCTTCTCCTGTAACAGTGTGTGTGTGCATCGTCTGGGCTGGTTCAAGCCTTAGTACGCATGGAATATGAGCCCTATAAGGTAAGGGTCCATCCGGTCCCTGTCATTTTCCTGATTAGGTAACTAAGGCCAGGGAAGCAGAGTGACTGTTCCAAAGTCAAGCAGAGCCATGAACAGCTCACCAGATTGTCTTTGGGGCTCTGTGTTTAGAACAATAGCAGTGATTGTGTGCATGTGTATGTGTATGTGTGTATTTAATTGCCAGAAGGCACATGCATTTGCCAGAGGGTCAGAGAGAAAGAGGGAACACCCCGGTGGGCTCTGGTCAAATGGAAATCCTCTCTCCTCCTTTTCCTTATCCTAGTAGGATCCTGGTCACAGAAGCACAGGCCCTGGGGTGTTTTTCCAGCCATCTGGAGTGTTTTCCAGTAACCAGGGCTGGGATTTGAGCTGTGGACAGCCATGTGGGATTCAGGTTCCTATAACCAGGGCTTAACTGCTATACTATAGGGCTGGCCCAATAGCAGGAATATTAAACTATGATTTTTGAATACTGACTATGTACCATGAACAGTGTTACAATCTCATTTCATTCTCACAGGCCTAGGAGGTACAGACTATTGTTAGCCCAATTTTACAAAAGGGAAACACTTTCTGAGACATTGGGTTTCCTGCCGGGAGGCCTCACTTGGTGGACTAGATGAGCGATCGACAGCAGGGTTATTTTACTTTCCTTCCATTCTTGCTGACACCAAACTTATCCAAGACTTCCTCCCCTTTTTTAAGTTTCTCTTTTCCTTTGATGAGCATGAGAGACAGAGAAAGAGACAGAGACACAGGGGCCCCTGACAGAACACACTAGTGCGATCCAACCAGGCCTGAATCATGGGCACAAGCTCATCTGCTGCTCTGAGTTCTCTGGATGAGAATCCGGGACTCATCCTTGGGGTCAGCTTTCCAGAACTTCAAATCTCACTGCTGGGCCTCTCACCATGCCCCCTTCACTTTCACTTCAATTCTTTCTGGTCTTCTAGGCTCCAGCCTTCTCGGTTGGTCCTGGCTGACCGAAGTGCACCACATCTCTCGGCACCCCATGTCCACCAGTACCACATTGCAAGGCACGATGCAACGATCACAATAGGGTTTGTGCACCCATGGGAATCCGATACCCCACTGATCTGACAGGAGGCCAAGCCCGGCAACAACACTAGCAATGGGGAGTGGCTGCAAACACGGATGAAGCTTTGGTCACTGGTCCACTGCCCCACCCCTCCCTGCTTGGCCTGGCAGACAGACACCAGTCCTCAGTCCAGCCCCCAACACACCTGGCACCAGTCTGTGGCCCAGGAGTTGGAAGCCTCTGTTCTAACCATTCTATCTCACTATTTTCAACTTTGATCTTCAAATTTATTCTCCACATCTCAGCCAAACTAGCTTTTAGAAACATAAAGTAGATCATTTCACTTCCAGCGTAAATAATGAATCAGTTCAACAAACCTTTATTTAGCTTCTGTCACTTGCTAGGCACCATGCTGAGGTGGAGTATGTGCAAAGGAACTTTAAAAGTTTTTAGAAACATGACATTAAAGTGCAAATTTATTTTGGTGCAGAAAGATGGAAATCCATGAATGTTATTTCATAATACACATTTTCCATGAACTTTGTAAAGACCCCCACAAACTGGGGAATAAAACACATGGTACACACTTTCATGGAGCTTACAGTTGGGTAGAGGGGGAGATGACAGGTGTCCTGTGGTTACTGGGTCAAGATCTAAATTCCGAAACGTGGTTTTCAAGGCCCACCAGGGAGGTTGAGACCTGGATTCTAATCCTACCCCTGCTCCTAACCATAGGCAATTCACCTCCTCTCTCTGGGACTCAGTTGTTACATATGCACATGGATAGTAAAGTATATGACCTCAAATGGTACCTGTCTGTAGTAATTATCCCAGGGACCTGGGGATTTCCTCTCCCCCAGGTCTCAATGTCATTCTTGCACTATATGTCAGAAGGCCCCCGGTCTGGCCTGGCTGTCCTCACTTCGAATTTGCTCCACCCATGGCCCCAGTCCCCTTAGCCTCAGACTGCGCCGTATGCCTGGGGAGGTGGTTGGGGCTGGGGTTGCTGGCTGCCCAGGTGGCCTCTCAGGTGTGTCTTCTGCTAAATTTAATTCATGCTGTGAATTTTTTACATTTCTTGGTGCTGAATCCATCCCAGCACTTTAAGTGAACTCTTCAGATTATTTTACTCTTTTTTACCTTTTAGAGGAAATCTTCGGCACACCAGCAATATTTAAGGGCTCAAGCTGTGCAGTTAACAAAAAAGAGTGTGGGGAACCAGCAGTTAGCGTAGTGGCTATGTCGCTGGACTCCCACGTAGTCGACCGCGGTTCGTGTCCCAGACCCGGTGGCTTAAAACTCACGCCGGGCGCGTGTGCGTGCGTGCCCAAGATCCCGAGAGGAGAATGGAGGAGAAGGGATTGCGGCGTGACCATCCCCCCTGGGGGGTGATTTCTTGCTTTCTGTCTCTATGTCTCTCTCTGTCTGTCTGGCGAGCGCACGCGCCCTACAGTGAAAATCTCTCAAAAAAAAAAAAAAAAAAAAAAAAAAAAAAAAAAAAAAAGAGTGTGCATTAGTGTGCTGGACAAGGGTAAAGGGACGGCGCTGTGGAAGGGTGGGGAGGTCTCTGTTCACTGTCTCAGCAAAGAGGAAGTGGAGATGCACGCACTTCAGGTCAGGATCGAGATTAGGCACCAGGGAGAATTGACTGGGAGGGAGGGATGGCGACTTACAGAGTCTGCCTGTGTCAATGTATTCTGAACGTCCACTCCTGTGAGCCCCAGTCCTCCAGCCTGTGAAAACAGTAACCAAAAGACTCAGAGCCCCTGCTCCCATGGAACTGGGAGCAGAGGTTGGGAGAAAGAAGTGAACCAATAATTGGGACTTGTACAATTCTGAGTAGCAAAGACCTTTTTCAGGCAAGACACCTAATTCAAAAGTCATAGAATGAAAGACTGATACCCCGAATGATGTTAAAAATGTAAAGTTCTCAGGGCTGACCCCATGGCATGATGGGTAAGGGAGTCAAATCCCACATGGTTGACTACAGCTTTAATCCTGGCCCTGGCAGCTTGAAAACCACTCCAGGTGCGCGTGTGTGTGTGTGTGTGTGTGTGTGAGTGCATGCCCAGTTCCCAATGGGCTGGAGAAATGGAGGAGAAGCGGTTGTGGCATGACCACCCCTATTGGAGGATAACTCCCCACCTCCCCATGAATGCAGGCACACTTTGGCCAAAAAAAGGGTTAGAGTTCTGTATAAGAAAAGACAGTATAAACAAAGTTCATGGTAAGTAAAAAATTGGTAAAATGTGTTTGTGGCATATAGAAATAAGTCTTGCAGGGACACATTCAAACCACAGCAGGCCAACCCAGATGGAATGGCAGCAAGGCCAGGAGAGCGATATGATGAGGTGTGGGTGAGAAAAATGCAATGGAACCCAGAAAAGCAGATGGGTCAGGGAGGGCTTTCTGGAGGAGGAGGTGCCAGAACTTCTCTGACACTTGGAAGACAAATAAGGATTTAACGGCTGAAGAGGTGAAGGAAGGTATTTCAGACAATGAAAAAAGTGACCAGAAAAACAAAATCTTTATTTATTTATTTATTTATTTTTTGGAGAGGTTTTCGCTATAGGGCGCATGCGCTCGCCAGACAGACAGAGAGAGACATAGAGACAGAAATTGAGAAATCACCCCCCCCCAGGGGGGATAGTCACGCCGCAATGCCTTCTCCTCCATTCTCCTCTTGGGATCTTGGGCACGATGCACACACACTCGGTGTGAGTTTTAAGCCACCGGGTCCGGGACGTGAACCACAGTCGACTACGTGGGAGTCCAGCGACATAGCCATTACGCTAACTGCTGGTTCCCAAAAACAAAATCTTGAAAGAGATATTTAATAAGGCGGGAGAAGGGTGTGTGCTGAGGCTAGGAAGAGGCTGGAGGAATAGAGGCTGGGTAGGTGCAGGTGAGAGGTGCTGGCAGCATAACTAAAGCAGGGAGAGAGAGAAACGCTCCTCACTGGGTCATCGCTCCCTCTTCTTTTCCACCCAGAGACATCTCTCTGTTCCTGACTTACCCTCTCAAAATCACACTCTGTGTCCTGATGCCCTGGCCCGTCCCTCACCTCCCTCCAAGGGAACGCCGCTGCATTTTGCGCTGACGCTCAGCACGATGGACAGCTTGGGCAGCAACTGCATTTGAGGTTTCTCTGGCGATGATGGATTATGAGGTCAGAATGACCAACCTGAGATCACAGGCTCTCGGCTGTTGACACAAGGAGCAGGCAGAACCCACCCCACGTGGATCCGTGCACTCTGGACTTCTTTGTCCCCAAGGGCTGGTCTTAGGGGAGCGAGGTGGACACTCCGCACTCACAGCACAGAATCGGAGTCCAGCAGGCTGCTCAGGACAGCCCTCAGATTCTACCTCCTCTATGTCCTCTCTCTACTGAGGGGACAGGACTCACCTGGCTCTGTGAGGGCTGGGGATTGAGACCCGTCTCTTCCAAGCCAAGGTCGGTGGTGAGAATTCTGACTGAATTTCTATCTACTACCTACTTTAACAGTCACCGGCCAGGGTTCCAGGGACAGATGGTTTAAATTCTCTAAGCCTCTGATTCCTCATTTGCAGAGCCCTTTAACAGGGACCATGCACGACAGGAAGGAACTCCTTTTAAAATATCTACCAGCAACCCTTCCTGTCACTCCTGGGGCTAGAGTCATTCTTGCAGGAACACTTGCGTTTTGTCTCAGACAAACCCTTCTGCGGACTGTTGGGCTGTGCACGAGTGACGCCCAGCCCCTATTTCACAAATGATGAGGTGGAGATGCTGAGAGGGCAAACTGCTTTCTCTGGCCAGTGTCCCTTAATGGACAACTTGCTGTCCCAGTGCCATGGGGTGGTGGCACGACAGAAAGGGTTTGTCTTATTTGTTCATTTCTCCTTGCTAGTGTGGGAAGAGAGTCGAGGCGTTGTGGTATCGTGGTGGTGCGGCACCCCGGAAGGCAACTTCAGTATGGATGGGAGGATAGATGAGAATACTAGAGGCAGAGAAATTCTCCCCTTTTGTTAAAATCAAAACAGTTTTGGGAACCAGCAGTTAGCGTAATGGCTATGCCGCTGGATTCCCACGTAGTCGACCGCGGTTCGTGTCCCGGACCCGGTGGCTTAAAACTCACGCCAGGTGCGTGTGCGTGCATGCCCAAGATCCCGAGAGGAGAATGGAGGAGAAGGGATTGCGGCGTGACCATCCCCCCTGGGGGGTGATTTCTCGC